ACCAGTATTATGTATATGTCTAACGTTGAAACCATCAACTTTTAGATAAGATAACTACTCTACGATTAGTTTCATTTCATATTCTCTTCGAAAACAACTGTTTAAGAGCAACAGACATTCATAATGACGCCTTTTTTTCATATTAAAATATGATTGTACTCTTTGTCCTTTTTCAATCTTTACATCTCTTATATGAGAAAACAGATAAACGATCCTCACGTGCTTAATTTTTAGCTGTTTACTATAAATTTTACCATGTTTCTGGTTACAATTAATCAAACTCTATTCAGAGAAATACATATTATTCATTTAAATCTACTGATAAAAATCTTCGAAAAATTGTAGTGAAACTGCTTACCATCTTGTTCGAAAATATTTTTAACAATCTAAAGTACTTTTTTTTCATATTGAAAAGTTGATCTAGATCAGTCATGTCTTGTTTCGAAATGCAATCGGTATAATTAAACAGAAATATCGGTTGCCAGAATTGATACTTTAATAAAAATTCATTATGTTTAACGTACTGGTTCTGATCCATTGAGTAACGCCATACTTGTTTTTATATTCTTTGATCGAAAAAAAATGAATAGTAACTTAAATCATTAATCATTGATGAGATAAACAATTGTAACATAAACGAATCGGTTTAATTAATTTTTTCAATTTATTATTAGTTGGATAATTCGCTTCCAAGTTCTTTTTCTTTAATATATGGAAAAAAAATGTAAATGTGATCAGATCTGATGAAAGAAGAAGAGTAGGACGCCTATTGAATGATAACACTTTAAGACAGGGAATTAGAACGAGCATGATACAAGAAATGATTTATGACATGAGCTAATCGAGAAAGCGAAGAAAGATAACAAAACACGAACGCATCAGAACAGAAAGAAAAAAAATAATGCACACAAATGAAACAAAGAATAATGATTGAGTGAAGTTGTCAGTGGAAGAGGTCAAGAATAGTTGTTTTTTCAAACGAAGTAAAAAAATAATTCCACTATTTCAAATCGATAGATGGATGGTCTCTATTACTTTAACCAATTTATTCCATACACGTTCAGCACAACAGACTATTGTCAGAAATGTTTGAATTACATATACATATATACACACAGAGATTGTTCATGTTGTTTCAGACTGTAAACAACTAGAGATGTTCTCATAATAAATAAATAAACTATCAAATTATTGTCATTTATGGTGTTCACAACCGAAAACTGTAGTCACAGTTTCATTATTCATGCATTTTTCATGCCAAACACAACTTTTACAATACCATTCATGAATATTTGTATTGACCAAAGAAGTCTATGTGACTATAGCCGCAATACAAAATATCTTTTATTGCATATACAAAGACGCACGATAAAGAAAACAATTCTCTATTTGGATCTTAATGCTAAAAGACTATCAGATATTATTTGTCGTTATTTTGATTTCAACAGATTTTCGCATCGATGATATTGTTAGTGGTTTGTTCTGCAATAAAAAAAAATGAAAATTCATAGAAATTTACTTTATGAATTTTTTTTCACTTTTTTAGTTAATTTTTTGCCGTATATCACTACTTTAAATATTAAGAATGGTTTATTTCAGTGAACGAGTATTAAATCTGTCTAATACATGCTAGATGATTGAACTAAGTTTTTATCATATACTTTCCTATTATGTTCGAGTGCTATTTTTCTTAAAAAGGATTAAAAGCAGGACAGAATGATACGCTAATTATTAAACTTTTATCAAATAATGTCTACAAAGTATTAACAGAACAAGATTTATTAGATTTCATTTCTATTTGATGTCAAGATAATGATACAATTCCGAAATTAGTTGGAACCAATATAAAGATTTAAACCGAATTAAGAAGTTTGTCCACACATCTAATTCAATTTATCATTTATTTTCTACTAGTTGCTATTTTGTTTTGAAAATTAGGTCTCTCTATATTTTAAGTATGTCCATATCGAATAGACGACTATTGCAACATAATTGTCCAATATATTTCGTATACATTTTACTAATAAAAGCTTTGTATGATATTCGTTATTTAACGCAGTGACCACGATGTTCAATCTATATTTGAAATGAATATCTTATTGCAAGCCATATTTTCAAGAGTTCCGTTAACAAGTACTTGATCAAGACTTGATATTCAGTCTCACTCCTTTATAAAGTGTCCCTATATTCTGTTCTCACAGAAAAATTGGTCTTACTTATAATACATACGAAAATATTTCTCCTCTTTTATCATTTTAAGTCCTTACTGAAACCTATCAGATCTAAACCGTTAACATTTTCCCGTGGAATTCTTATAGTGTAACACCCTTCATAAGGTAACTTTCCAGTGCACCAGCTAGTTGCTTGTCGACATCCATTCGGGGCGCTACTCGTAGCTAGCTACTGCCTCCCGAGATATTGTTCACCATTAGATAATTCTGTTCACTCAAACCCTGTCAAATGCTAGGCTGCTCTTACTTAAAAAAAACTTTTGGACCTATAACACGATGGCTCCAAATAAGTTGCTCCGAACCAATACTTTCCAAGTATTTATTACTCATTTCTTCAACATAATTGTTTAGCCAATACGTTAGAGTTGTATTACTGCTGCTGATTTGGAGGACCTTAGTTGGTCATTCTTGATTAATGTAGGTTTCACGTACATCTTTTGTTAAATGGCAGTAGAACACGTTTGCGATTTTAGCGACCAGTGGCTCACCAGCACTTCTCTTAGGGCTTGCCGATAGTCCCTCGCTGCATTATTGGAATACATTAAAACAATCATTAGTTATTTTGCATGTATTCCACAAGCTGAAACTTCACTTACAAGATTTTTTATGCTACTTTTCTCGACTTAAGAAGAGTGCACTCAAAAAAGCCATTTAACTCAGAAACCACTATGAATAAAGAGGAATCTCTCAATGTTGCTCAAATTAGACTGACTGCCGGAGGTGTGTAAACAGTATCTCATCACATTACGACTTACCAAAACACTCATGCCATTAGGTCACGCTCCGATTCGTGTCTACAACTATAATCTGAAGAGACTATCGCAACTAGACAGTAAAAGCAGACTCCAGATATACAGAGCGATTTTCCATATTCCGAATTTCCCTTTTTTCCAAATGTCTTTTTCTCAAAAAAATTTGCTTTTACCTTAGACCACAGTTCAGAGAGTAAAGGTATGATCTTTTCATGGAAATAAATACTTGATTTTCTGAATAGCTGACTTCAGGTTCAAATTCCCCGACCCCGATTTACTTTCGTCAACCTTTATAAAATATCCTTATTTTCTCAAAAAACCCTTCCCTTGACCCTAAAATTCAATTCAAAATTTTGAAAAACTGAATTCAGATTCGGATTCCCCGACCCCGATTTACTTTCGTCAACCTTTATAAAATATCCTTATTTTCTCAAAAAATCCTTTCCTTGACCCAAACTAGCTCCTTTCTCCTTTCTCGTTTCTCTGTTCTCCTATCCTATTTATCTCTTATTCTCTCTAAATTATGTCTTATCTCTCTCTTATTTCTCCCTTATGCTCTCTTATTTCTGTCTTATTCTGTCTTATTTCTCTCTTATTCTCTCTTATTTCTCCCTTATTCTCTCTTATTTCTCTCCTAGCTGAAATTTCAAGCGGATACAATCTGACTGGTCGAAAGCCTGATGTTGAAAATCCCTGATTGGCTGACTTTGTGAGCTGAAAGAATCTGATTTGTCGAAAGGCTGATATCGAAAATCTCTGATTGGCTGGATTTCCAAGCTGAAAGTACGTGATTGGACGAAAACCAGATATCGAAGATATCTGAGCATCGATCTTTAAGCGGATGTTCTTTTCACCCTGATGTTCTTTTGACCTTGTGACAAGCAAACAATCAAACAAACTATTTTATTTCATATGACCCTCCTTTCCGTCGAGGGAAAAACTGTTAGAATTATCTGATAGTAAGACAGAGCATTTAGCTGGTCTGTTACCTTTTGTTCCTGAAATGCCTGTTATTTTAACACAAAACATTGCTACTGAGCTTGGTCTTATCAACGAAATTAATGGAATCTTTCGGCAACTTGTCTACCAGGCAGACTCTGTGTCAACAGATATTCTATCGGACTCATTTCCGAAAAACACGCAGTACGTTCGCCAACCATTGTATGCATTGATAGAAATTGCTAAATCGAAGATTGAATGCAATCTTGAAAAACTTCAACCAAAACTAGTTCCAATACCGCTAATGGAACAAACATTTCGCATTGATATTGGCGACCTTTTGCCGAAAGATAAAAAGCCAAAATCAAATCGAAAAGCAATTTTATCAATTAAACGACGTGCATTCCCCCTTGTGCCTGCTTATTGTATCACGACACATAAGAGTCAAGGCCAAACTTTGAATAAGGTTGTGATTGATCTAAAACTACCGAATGACACCGACGATATTGCTGCAGTCTATGTACCATTGTCGCGTGTGAAACGTTTGGCTGATCTTATTATTTTACGACACTTCGATTACAAGATTTTACTTGTTAAACCGAGCAAATCACAAGTCACCGAAATAGAAAGACTCGATAAACTGTATTTAGATCTAGGGGGAAAAGCGTACATGAAGTAGAAAAGTACATGAAAGTACAAAAGTAACTTGAAGTTATCTCAAGTAGATCAAAGTACCGAGAAGTGGTTCCAAGTACATTCAAAGTATCTGAAAGTACTTTCAAATACATTCAAAGTATTGAAAAGTACTTTCAAGTAACTTTAAAGTATCCCAAAGTACTTTCAAGTAACTTAAAGTATCCCAAAGTACTTTCAAGTACCTTTAAAGTATCGCGAAGTACTTTCAAGTACATTAAAGTACCGAGAAGTGCGTGCAAGTATTTGAAAATGTCCTCAAGAAGCTGAAGTTCATTATATGAAATTAAACTAAGTGGATAGAACATGAAAGATTGTTTAATGGAATTGTAAAGCACAGAAAAAATGATCATTAAAAACGAAAAAAATCGAAGCAATGAGTTCATCAATCTCTATTAGTTGTTTGCTGCATGACATGAGATAAACGATCACTTGATAACTTTGTTATTTTATTGGATAACAGCCAACAAGCCGATTGTTTGTGAAGATACTTAATTTTCTCGTTTATTTTTATCTTGAAATACGATTGTTTCAACATGGGATTAATATCATCAACTATTTTTATTCCATTAAAGTGGGATTTTGTTGAATTTAATATTTCTTCATTGCCATTCTCATCATCATTTTCAAAATCTACTAGGACTTCATCGTTGAGCTTATCTTGTTCATTGTTTTTCACATCATTATCATCATTTTCTTCGTCCAATTCAAATTCTTCGTTGTTATCAGTTGGTGTTCCTGAAGAATAACTAAACATTTTCGAACTTTTACGTAAATTGCCGAAAACAAATCCACTTAAGTCTTTTAAGTCAAGTATATCATGCTGGCGTAATACATCTAACATATTTGAATCTTCGACTATATGTATTGCTTGATCGTATGCATTCAATATTATCTGTTCGACATTTAATTTATCAAATTCATCTAATTGATCTGACAATACTAATGAATTATCATGTTCATGTTTTTGATGTGTGGTAAAAGATAGAGTATCATCCGATTGATCATATTTGAATTGATTCAATATTGATAATTTTTGTGAACGTCGAATAAAATTGCTGACAGTAAAGTTGACCATTGTCGAGAATGAACCACTTAACGATCTTGCATCTCTAAATAATGACTCGCGGGTGTGGGTGAGGGTGGGTGTGTGTGTGGGGTGTGGGTGTGGGTGTGGGGTGTGGGTGAGGGTGGGTGTGTGTGTGGGGTGTGGGTGTGTGTGTGGGGTGTGGGTGTGGGTGGGTGTGGGTGGGTGTGGGTGTGTGTGGGTGGGTGAGTGGGTGGGTGGGTGTGGGTATGGGTGTGCGGGTGTGGGTGTGGAGTATGGGTGTGGGTGTGTGTTGGTGTGGGTGTGGGTGTGGGTGTGGGTGTGGGTGTGGGTTTCGCTCAACAGAATGATAACGTTCACACCCACACCCTTACCCACACCCACACCCACGCCCACACCCTCACCCAACCCACACCGACACCCACACCCACACACCTACACACCCACACACACCCACACTCACACACCCACACCCACACCCACACCCACACCCACACCCACACACGCACACACACCCAAACCCAACCCACACACACCCACACTCAACCCACACCCACACCCACACCCTTTTTAACTCGGACGTATAATCTACTATGTGTTTTTTTTACCTAACTTTTTCTGAATAAATTCTGTTAAACTACTAAATAATACTATAGTTCGTATCTTTGTTTTTACATCATTGAGTTTTTCAATGTTGTGCTGTCAGTTGGCAAAAACAAAAGAAATCAAAGTGATAACATTGAACATTAACCTTTAGACCCATGCCATAAAAGCTTCAAGTAGTTCGAAGTTGCACGAAGTAGCCCAAAGTAACTTCAAGTAGCTCAAAGTTGCATGAAGTAGTCAAAGTAACTTCAAGTTGCTCGAAGTAGTTTAAAGTAACAGTAAAGTAGCCCAAAGTAAGGTAAAATAGCTAAAATTACCTTTGAAGTAGCTGAAAGTAACTTCAAGTATCCTAAAGTGCCCTTCAAGTAGCTGAAAGTAACTTCAAGTAACTCTAAGTAACTTCAAGTCCAAAAGTACGCTTTTCCCCCCTAGATTTAGATACGCAAACACGTTTTTCTCAGTGGTTCCAATAAGTTTTCTGCATTGTAAGAAAACTTTTATTATTTGTCTCTAATTTTCTATATGTAATTTCCTTTTTTTATGTATTCAGTTGATATTGTATTCATTTCAACATTGTTTTTTTCTGTATCCATGTCTTGTATATATTAGCATCATGTTTTTATTTTTTTCGATTATAGTTTGATATATTTACTAGCTATAGATATATCGTTGTTTTTGTCTATTTTGTCGTTTTTTTGGTCACAAATCGAATAAATATATTTGCGTCATGTCATCGCGGAGAAAAATTTTTAAATAAATACTCTTGGTTATAGTAAAGACTCATACGACTCATTCACTAAATCATTCTGTAGGACAGTGCCACTACAATGATGTATACATGTGATTACAAAAGATACTCACGAAAAGTACAACTATTATTCACATTAGAGATACTTCTTTTATTTCAAATCACGGTTTGAATGTATTTTGGCGCTGTTATTCCCTCGACTGAAGGGAGGGTCATATGAAAAAAACTGAAAATGGGTTTGTGTGTTTGTCGGGGTCAAAAAAACATTCGGGTCAAAAAAAACACCTATTTCAAGTTCTCTTCTATAAAGGTTGACGAAAGTAAATCGCGGTTGGGGAATCCGAATCTGAAGTGAGATTTTCAAAATTTTGAACTGAATTTTTTGGGTTAAGGGAAGGGTTTTTTGAGAAAATAAGGATATTTTATAAAGGTTGACGAAAGTAAATCGGGGTTGGGGAATCCGAATCTGAAATCAGATTTTCAAAATTTTGAATTGAATTTTTTGGGTCAAGGGAAGGGTTTCTTGAGAAAATAACGATATTCTATAAAGGTTGACGTAAGTAAATCGGGGTCGGGGAATCCGAATCTGAATTCAGTTTTTCAAAATTTTGAATTGAATTTTAGGGTCAAGGGAAGGGTTTTTTGAGAAAATAAGGATATTTTATAAAGGTTGACGAAAGTAAATCGGGGTCGGGGAATCCGAATGTGAAATCAGATTTTCAAAATTTTGAATTGTTTTTTTTTGGGTTCATGGGAAAATATTTTTGGTGAAAATAGTGTTTCGTATCGTATAGAAAGAGTTATATGAGACAAAATAAATGTTTATCTGTTATTGTCCCAGTGAAACGTGAGGCGCAAAAAAAACAGCATGGCGAAGTGTTTGTTGATGTTCGTACTTTTAATATTGGGCCTTGTACCGGTTCAATTTTTCAAACTTAAAACTCGCTTAATCCGACGTATGCGATAAGTTGTTCTTCAATGAGCTGTTTTACAACTAGATTTCCACGGATGAGGCTTATTTTTAGCTGAGTTTCTAACTGGTGATGCTGTTTATAGGACTACTCTAGTCAGTCAGACATTTTGGATATGGGACTCGACAAAATATGAGTTCGTTGTTTGTTGTTAAAGAGGCGTAGTTTTTTTCACAATACTGTCAGGCGTTAAGATGTATCCTAATTGAAATTTTTGTCTAATAGTGGAGAATGAAGAACATGATGGTGAGATATTCAACTTTTTTCTTATATATTTTTGTTAGAATCGTGGTAAATGTGGCTATAGATGTTTTTGGAAACGTTTGTTTATTTTATAAATGCTTTCGTAAACCCAAACCCTATTGCATCTAGCTACCTGGAAAATACAACAGGAAGTCACAAATTTAGTTTGTTGATTTGTCTTATGTCCGCGATGTAGCGCTGTCGAAGTGAAAGAACAAACTGATATATTTAGAACATTTAATCTTTTGTGCCATGTAATTTAGTTATCAAGGAAACGGCGCTGTGTCACATATAACGTTACAAGTGGGTTTTAACTATGCTGACTCTTTCTAGATCATTTTGTACAAATCTTGGGTTTGTCTCGCCACATTTTTCCCACATTAGCATGTCTTCGTTGTGCATTCTGAAGATAAGTGGTGCTGACTGCTATTCTATATTTCTCGAAAGAGATTTAAATGATATCTCTAATGTAGAACTAATTGAGAGAGACCGAAAATGACATAAAAATTGAAAATATGTACTAGCTTCATCTGAGACGAATTGTTTGAGGCATTTTGTCAAAATCTAAACTCAATTGCGACATATATTCTTTCTCCATTGATATTTCCACGCCAATCCGAGGGAAGAAGAATAGTGCACAACAGAAAACCATTTCCTCTACAGAACAAGTTATACAAATGAAAATGTATGGTGTTAGATTCGAAATATATCTTTGTTCCCTCGACTGAAGGGAGGGTCATATGAAGAAAACTCAAAATGGGTTTGTGTGTTTGTCGGGATCAAAAAAACATTC